GAAATGGAATAAAAGCATTCTATTCATTGAGCCAAGTATCTGAATTATCACGAAATAATTCGAACATTCGAAAAGAGGTATAATTAGCTTAAGTGCTTCGATCGATCATTTCCGCGATAATTGGAGTCATCGAAACATCGGAATCTCATATATTTCATCTAGTGCCTTGAAATGCTATGAATCCAGAAAAAACATCGTAAATAATAATAGTAATAAAAATAAACCGTTCGTTCCGAAGTTCATTCACTAGAGCACTACCAATTTGACTACAACTTGTCCCGTCTTGTCTCTCTTCCTTCTCCGTCTGCTTCTCCGATATATCCTATTCAGGGCTGTTCCCGACCAAAAATATATGGTACTATGAGTGGAATAATTCCACCATATGAATATATCGATATTAACAAATGCAAATGAATCGCAATCAAAGTAATTTGAATATTTTCGAAATGAAAGAAATATACCAAACCCATGAGGAGAATAAACTGAAACAATTAATTTCCATCCACTTGGTGAACGATAGAAACCCAATGATCTCATAACTCATTCAATACTAGATTTCATCAAAGAGTATTAAGGTACTGAACATCTTCGAATAGATTCAATTCTAGTACTAAAGTACTGACTGGAACAGCCCTGATCCGATCGGCCTTCCTTGGCCAACTTCTCTTTTTCCCTTCCTCTCCAACTATCAAGTGGTGTGGGGAGAACAGACCGCGGTCGCACGACAGATGGAGCATTTTGGGACCATCTTTGCTATCTTCAGACCAGATCAGACAATCATTTGTGGACATATGTGGTGAAGATGGGACATTTTGCTGATATCTATCTAGGTGGCCAAGGATCGGTCAACGAGGCTCTGGCAACCTAATCCAAGCTGTGGAAACCCGTGGCGATGGATGGATGGCACCAAGGTATGGTGTCGCTAACTAGGCCTCTGGGAATCAGGATGACATCCCAGAGTAAACAGCCTCAGCCCTGTGTAGGGAGCACCACAGGGCTGGACCAACCCCTTTCCCGTCACTCGTAGGAGGAGGAACACGATCGTCCTTCGTCGTAGACGAGATCAGGGATTTGAAGAGTAATCGTCACAAACCTGAACGGAATGGGTCTTTTATATTGAAGTAGCCCTTAAAGAGCACCATGAGTGGTATATGGTGAAATTGATAACGGCATGTAGGTAACATACAATGGGCCACATGGCCTAAGTGTCGTCAGAGACCTCAGTCAGACGAGCCTACAAACGGAGTCTTTTATTGGGATTTACCCTGGAGTCAGGGGACTCCCTCACTCCTCACTATCAAATGGAGGTTGCAGTATATAAATGAACATCAGCGTGTTTTTGAGTGTATGAAATGCAGAAAAATCCAACCAGTATTTTCCATCTTGAGAATTGAAAGCGTTCAATTCATTTCAGGTGTATTATTTCTGTATATTTCTCATTTAGATCTCGAACATAATATAACATATTTTTCTCCTCTAAAGATTTTTTGCAGTCGTTACCCATCATTACTCATCTAATCCATAGTAGGGATATTTGGCATCTAGAATTACTACCCGTGCAACTTTGGTTGTCTAAATATTTTGGTCACTTGGCGTACGGAATAATGAAGGCCCTGTTTATGTTATTCGATAATGTACTGCTCTTTCGCGAATATTGAAAAATGTGTATCCAAGTATAATACTAGTTGAGACAGTTCAGATTCAGCAATTTCCTTTCTGAAAGTGACATTATCACGAAAAAATCAACATCGAGACTTAGTATTGATTTTATTCATTGAACTGATACCAAAAACCAAAGACTCGTGACCACTGAGAGATTCAGGATGATCCCATTTGTTCCATATCATTAGCAAAACTCCACTAGTATTCGTTATAAAGAAAATTTAGACAGCACAGACTGGGGACTGGAATCCAATCACTCTACTGACCAAGTTGAAACTTGATGAATTTATTTTCTTCTATACTGTACCTTATAGTTCATGATTGCTTCCATAGGACCAGTATACTACGAATGGGAACATAATGATTACGTATAAAATGTAATTTCAATTCACGAATGGATTTCTACATTTCATCATTTTTATAGCGGTCTTTGGAGTTCTTGAGAATAATTGGTCTCACTCAAGCATTGCCGGGATTAATTAAAGCATGCTTTTTGAAAGCTTGAACTGTTTTACTTGCAGCACCCCATTCAGTTAATAGGGTGGATTTATATAATTTTTTTCCCGAGGAGAGGAAAATGTTTTCAGGATATTTCCGCATTCTGAATAATCTAGGAGGATAAGAAACACGGTAGGAGAGACGAATTAAGAACGAACTGTATTCCATTTCAACGAATTGAGGAGACATTTCGTTTCTTCACAAAATTCACTGCGAGCAACTGTTCTCGAGTTATTGGGATTTGAAATAATCGATGCTTTCAAGTTATTCCTATGGAGCTCGTAAGTCGCATCTGAGTAGTAAATATCAGAAAAGATACGCCAGTGCATTTTTCTTCCATCATTCAATATTCTCCTACATTCAACATTGGAATGTATAGACAAAAGATGATTCCTACTTCTTTGTACCTACTTTTTCGAGTGAAAACTTGTCATGTTATTGCAATTCGTTATTGTTTCGATTCAATCCAATTTTTTAATGAAATCAAAGATAGATAATTTCCCCTACTTAATAAATCAATTTTGAATTCCAACTTCTTGCCAATCCAAATTACTTGCATTGATTATTTCAAATCCCAATAACTCGAAAATAGTTGCTTGCAGCAACCTCTACCAGGATTATATTTTTCACACAAAAGTGTTCTAGAAATTTATTTTTCTCCCTCTCCGAAAGGACGAATCAATATTGAGAAGATATTACATTATTTCGAAATCTGAAAATTATCGACGTGAAATTTCGAGTTTTTAACAGTAGGGACACCTACGTTGTAGACTTCTTTATCATTCTTTTGAAGTAATCAAATATCTGATGTCACTTCTGTCGGTCTGATTCTGTGATTTTACTTCAAAAAATTGCGAATTTAGTGGTTGTTTAGTAATATACGTAACCGCGAAGTCGAATGGAAGATGAAAGTACTTGCAGCTCTTTCTCGGAGACGGTATTATTGACTAATTTTTCGGAACTATAGCACAACAAAAGCCATCAACAGTGTATATATATGTGATATATATCCGGGAAAAAAGTACTCACTTTTTTTCCACGGGAAAAAAGTTATTTATGAAAAGTGACATTTTATAACCTGCCAACAGAGATGAAATGCTCAACTTTTTTCCCGTCAAAGAAAAAATGAATATATCAGCTTGATTGACATCAACGTCAAAATTAGGTAGATATATTTATACTGGGGATGCATTTTGTGACATTTCGGGAAATGAATCTCTTTTGGTGAACGGAGAGTTCTACTTTTACGATATAATTGCGTTATTCGTTCGATAATTTCAATATGTGAACTACCCATAATCAGTACGCTTCTATTGAGAACTGAATTCATACGTAATAAATATAATGTTGTTGATTGAAATCTAGTCATCACTTTTGACTCGAGAAATCAATCACTAGTGCATGAAATGTTGTATGCATCACGTGCGTGAAATGCGTTTATGACCTTTAGCGTGTTATAGCCCTCGGCTGGCGCCATTATGACATTATTCACGCCGCAGGCCATGAACACCTACTTCACGACGTTGATACATGAATAACTATCACTACTTTGATAGACTACATATATAGTTTCCATTACCAAATGAATGAAACTACAATATTATAGTAAAATTGGCTTCTCTATCTTTTTTGCTATGTATTTTCAGAGCCTCATTACTTTGTTTTCTATCATTCGGATCGTTTCATAAAAGTTTATTTCTAGCGTCTCGCGCATTTCTTGCATTGAGAAAGTCCATATCGGAAAATGGGTCGAATGAAATGTTGAATTTGTTGTGGTACTTCTCTTGAACCAATTTTGCGGTGGTGTTCCAGAATGCCTCAACTCTACTCTCGATGTAATCTTCGAGATTTTTCATTCTCATATTGAAGGCCGAGTCTTTTAAAATTGTGCTGATTTGCCTGACTTCTTTTATCGCTCGGTGCGTACGAAAAGAAATCCATATAATGTTCAAAGAACATCGTGCGTACCTAGGGAGTATAGGAAGAGGAGAGATGTGTTGAATACATTATTCCAAATTTCTTGGGATTTTCTCTCCTCGTTTCGATAAAATAAAAATATGTAAGGAAAAATCAGATGAATTGCCCCAAAATGTCACTGCGTTTGAAGAATTTTCCTATCAGAGACCCTAAAAGGAAAATTCACTAGCTTATCAGTGAAAATTTGTATTGAAAAAAGTTTGAAGAAGAGAAATAAAGGTATTTAAAAAAAATATCAAATTTTCACTTATATTTGGACGTTTCGAGACAGTATAGGTGTTGGAATTTTTTTTTAAATTCTGGAGATTGAACGTTCTTGAAAATACTGGAGTTATTGAGACAAACTGTAGACACGAAGTTTTATTGCTGATAAAAGAGGTGGGTTGATCACGTGTGAGTCAATTTGACTTTTGTAATGGTAGAGCAAGTCCGATAAATTTTAGTGAACCAATATCGCTGTTGTACAGGAAATATAGTGATAGTGAATGGGTGATTCTGATTGGTCCTCGAACACAAGAGTGGAATGTTCACTATAAAATACTCATAATCATTATCAAACAATCAAAATGATATTGATGCTTTTCTCAATCCCAATTGAAACCAATATTATGACTGTGTGAGCCCTCCAAAGCCAACACGCGAATAAACCGAACCAATAACATAAGAATTATCTCATCTGTGAAGGAATCCAGACGATATATCCCTCTTAACCTCACCGCAATTAAATTCGCCCCATCTCATCCCAATGCGTCCTAATCCGCCTAACCGCATCGTGACTATTCAACTCGATCCCGAACTTCTTTTTCATACGCATTAACTTCCCTACACGGCAGTCATTAATTTTCTACTTCTCTCTTTTTCAGGACCTCCGCGTGCTCGAACTTCGGGGATGCGGACTGAAAAGGATAAACACTCAGCTCTATCACTTGCTGCCTTACATCACGCATCTGGATCTCGGCAATAACCAAATTCAGTTTCTGTCCCGAGACGAATTCCTGGACTTGCACCGACTGCACGTTCTCAAACTGGACGGTAACATGTTACCAGTCGTCCTGGAAAAAACTTTCACGCACAACCAGCAGCTCAAATTCCTATGTCTGGCAAGGAATCGACTAGCGAAGATAACCGACACTGCCTTCTACAACCTAACTAGCCTAATAGAACTAGATATAAGCTATAACAAGCTCAGTGGGATTGAAGCTGTGGCTCTAACACACATTGCCGACTCCCTTCAAAGGCTCGTGATCAGCGGCAATAACTTTACGCTGGCTCTCTTGAAGATTATCCTGCAAACGCTTTACAGAGTGTGGCATTTGGAAATGGCGCACATCAAGCTCAAAGCTCTTCCAGAACGTTTCATTCCCGACAGGATCAAGAAACTTAACGTATCTTGGAATGAATTATCTAGCATAAGCGTTCAAGCGTTTCCCAGACAACTCATCGAGTTGGATATTTCGAATAACGAACTCAAGGGTCTGAACGATAGTGTCATTCAAAAATTGGAAACTCTGAAGTTCGTGAATCTATCGGGAAATCCTTGGACGTGCACGCTGTGTCACATAACCCCCATACTCCTCCATGTAAATAAAACGAACTTGTTTAAGCAATCTGTATGTGCCTCACCCACAAGCTCGAGCGGTAAAAAGCTCAGCGAACTCAGCGTGAAAGAAGTGAAAGCTTGCGGTGGAAGCTCAGACTCTGATAAAAAAATTCCTTCCGACAAACTGACGCTGCTCGTGGGGTTGTTGTGTATCGTGGTTTTAGGTGTGCTTTCGGTGATTTTCGTGGTGGTGTCGTGCGTAAAAATGCACGCGGGCAATGCGGAAAGGCGGCACAAAAGAGCGGTGGAGCGGGCAGAGAACAACTTGGATAACGCCACAGCTATTTTTAGCAAAGGCGAGCTCAGTTTCAAGTTTCCATTGGATCTCACCGAAAGGCGGATGTCTGTGTCGACAATTGACGAGATTAAGAAGGATCCGCAACAAGAAATGTCGAATGGAAGTGTCACGGGGATTTGAGTCTCACCCAGTTCAGACTTCAATATTCATAATTAACGGTTGATTTTTCGTTCTGAGTGTATGGACACCATTTGGCAAAACATGGTTTCAAGATCGAAACTGTTTAATCTCTCACTAGTAACTTCTCATGCTATTCAAATAAACTGCAACATGCAAGTTTTTACACTTTCTGACATTTTGTTTATAGTGAAGTGAAACATAATCTATCTGCTTCATAAGTTTCTTTCTTCCGATTATTTAGCATCGTGGAGAAACTTCGATGTTTCCAGAATTTATACGCAGTGTTTTGCCAAATTGTGGCTGTACCCTAGATATCTGAATTGGTGTAAACAAGACATTATTCGTGTTTCGGGGCCAGTCCTTTGTACCCTGGAGCCAATTGTGCAGAGAAAATGTTAGCCGAGTTTTTTTCAACAATCTCGTACTAGTCTCGAAGGCAAACCGAGTTTATGGAAGAGAATATATCTTCAGGAGGATATGAGAATGGAGTTTTCCGGTTGAAAAATAGAGAACAAACAGAAAACAGGGTACTAGACCGTTCTGAACAAGTATTTTCGTTGTTTTATTTATATTTCTGAGGTCGATTTACTATGATAGCTTACCACTGGAGATGCTAAAATGTAAAACTGAGATTGTTTGTGAGCATCTATATAGTGAGTGCTCGTGAGGAATTTAGATTTTGTCTATTTTCAGTAAATATTGTCAGGCAGAGATGTCTCACAAAAAGATGTGCTCACAATCATTCCTATTGGAATTAAAATGATTACAGTCCTGATGATTATGATATTTCATGAGTAGTTTTGTCTGTGAAACTGTATTGCCTGTTCGGGCTATCGATTCAAAATTTCATTTTGAGAACATCTGGGAACGATTGCTTCCTTCGAAATTCCGTTGATAAAAAATCCTTAGGTGTTTTTGTTTCTTTGCTTTTTTATAATGGGAGCATGCCGAAAAAATTTAGTAACCTATCAAACTAGAAATATCATGAATGATTCCTTTAGAACACATGAGAATACATGGGTAGGGTAAAGCGAACAAAAAGAAACCACAAATGACGAAATTATTACTTGTTCATTTTCCAATTTGAAGTATACGATGTACCTTATTCGAACAAATTTGAAGTAAGTATATACCTACCGTTTGATTGAAAACTAATTGCACTTTTGAATCAATTTTGAATTTTATTTCATTTTCATTTAAAGAATTGAACTCTTGAATCGTTCGAATCTCTCACAGAATTGAAGGATATTCATCATGGTTTTCATCAATAGTTTTGCGTGCAGGCGATAATTTCTTGCTATTGCATATGGACATATAGAAAAGGCAATAAGGTGAAAAAAATGGGCAATGAAGTGAAAAAAATATTCCGATGGAAATAAAGTTATTGATTCGTTAGTATTTCCAATTGTTCAATTCGATTATTCTACTGATCTTTCATTATTTCTAAAACAAGTTGAGGCCTAGTTAAAACTGAACGAACAATGAAAAACCAATTGGCGAAAGGATAAAATCATCGATGTCATCATTGTTGTCAATTCTATTATGATACATAGATAACATCTGTTTTAGATAGCTATATAGGTATCCATTATAAATGACGAATGATTTTGAAAAATGGTTTTTATAGAAGAGTGCATGTGACGTGATATCACATTTTAGGTAGAATATATAATGTTTCATGTGGAGAATATCATGTATATAATATTGAAGAGGCATATCATTGCATATATTGAGAAATTAAATAGTGCCTATATATTGTTGTACTATCGTGTGGGTACTGCAGAACTTATTGTATTCGAAGAGATATTCATATTACACGAATGTACGATGTTGTGATCACCTTGAGTAATTAATCATCATTGTAATATTTTCACACAGAATGAGTTTGAGTAGGATGTAAATATCTGTCTGAATTCACTATTCCAGCTGATTCCTATATACCTATATACAGGGTGTCACATGAGTCATTGATCAATAGAAGTAGGGTGGTAGGGACTGAGGGTCATTTTCGATCAAAATAACCGTATATGTGGTCATCAAATTGTATATGGTTCAAAAGTTATTGAATTTTTCTGAAGTTACATCAATTTTAAGCTTTCAAATTGTCATCACCCTATATATGGCAAACCGGACATTGCATCAGAGGAAATCATATGAATCCTCATGTTGATGACCAAGATCCATAGTGTGTCAAATAATTGGCCGATTCTAGCCGTTTGTTTTCAAGTTTTCAGTGATTGAGTAGAAATCGAAATTCTGATATTTCCAATATTTGTCTATTTCCATGAATATAACCTTGTCATGATGGAATGCAATACCCTGAATGTGATATTATTATCTATTCGAATAGAGGGATTCATGAGGTAGGAATTAGACGTGGAGCAATTATTTCTACTGAAGATTTATCACGACTTAGAGCACATAATTCAAATCGATGCAAAATATTCTATACAGCCAAAATCAAATGTTTGCCACCCTGTAGCTCGAAAACTGGTCACAGAAACGATCTGTAAATTGGACTGTGTGATAAGGTCGCTAACATCTGAAACCTTATCAGATTTTCATAAAAATTAGCCAAGAGCCATTTTCCGTATTGAATGTGTGGGGTCCTTTGTGAAAGAAAAAATCACAAATGTGACACAGTTTCATTTTGATCAATTCTTTATAGTATTGACAAAAATCAATAACTTCCGAACCATCAACCATTGGATAACCACTTAAAGTATCAGTTTGATTGTGAATGACCCTCCCTTTAACCCCGCTTCTATTGATCCATGACAAGGGACATCCTGTATTTTGATAGAGCTATTTCGACATGAGTTACTTCTCATTTGTATAATATCTTCGTAACCATAATATAAGATCTCATTCATTTGCTACGAATGCAGGTATAATTAACTTTTCTAGGAAAATTATCGTGATTTTAGGTATCAAGGAACTATATGCTGGCTGCTCCTATTCAATGGGCGTGTACACCTTAGTGGAACTTTCAACTCAAACCATGTTTATAATGATCCTTTTATACATAAATAATGATTGACGACATAATTCGATCGAAAAATTAACTGGAATATTTTATTTTTGGACATAAATGATATTACCTTCTGGAAACGGATCCTCTTATGACGTAGAAACCTCATCTCGCCATAATTGAAAGAAAATACCAAACGCCCGACGGAGACTGAGGCAACAGATATATTAATTCTTTCAACTGTGATCTCGCGCTAATTCACTCTGTCAGAAATCATGTATCATTCATCTCTGTCTGGAATAGTCTTGTTTCAGTATTAGGGTTTTGACGTCACATCATCGTCTCGTTTTCAGATGTCCGAAAAATTGGGGATTTCAATAATTTTTTATAAAACGTAGGGAGCTCACAGCAAGAAACGGTTTGCGGTGGTGAGCTAGTTTGGGTGAGTTCTATCGAATTATGAAATAATTTTTTTTTGTGATATAAGCCCATTCATAAATCTATCAAATGATCTACAATTCCTTATGTACTAATAGATATTTCTCACAGTGTTTCAATGAGAACTGTACGAAATAACCAACTACACGTCAAACTATAACATTGATGTTGGTCTTTATCACCTTATGTTGTGATTTTCTTTTAGAAATTGCATGAATATCATGGGACAGAGTGTCGAAATCAAGTTTTATTCGCGAGAATGAATGGGTATCTTCAGTCCTGTGGTATACATAATATAATTCACTATTGATGTCGGTATCAAAAGTAGTAACTTTATATTCATGAAAACTTGAAGATACTTCATGAAAGAACATTGAAATATAACCTTTCTTCTACCGCAACTTATGTACAGGGTGAATTTGAAATGAAAACAAATATTTCAGACTCTAAGAAAGCTCGACGTATACTATCGAATGACATCAATAAAAAAATTATGTACTAATGTCCGTGCGGATATCATGTTGATGTACCGATTTTATATATACCTACACTCTTATCAGAAACACCTCGTATATTGTTTTCATCGATATTCCAACGAATGACTACTTATCAGACCGCAACTTCGATGATCTCTTCTTGAAAAAGCTAAATACCCACACCATTTGTATTTTATGAATTTCTTGAGAATATTTATTCATCTCAACAAGGGCGAAGAAGCAAAAAGTATGAATATCTAAGATGAGAAAAATGAAGAACACTCTTATATAACTCGTTTGCAACATTCATTCTAGATATTCAATTGGAAATTTCTTGTTAATATCATACATTGCAATATCAGAGGAATGATCACTATTTGGAGATCGTATAATTTCCAATACTCATTTATGTTCATTTCCATAATTCGAAACTAACTAATTATTCCTGCATCAATCAGGGTCGAATATTTGTTGTGAGCTGAAATTTCATGATGAATTCATTTTTCAAATATTGTTTTTGTACAAAAATTTGTAAATTTGTATATATCGTGTATTTGTTATACATTTTAATAAATATTTATTATGAATTGATTGTTTGAATTTATTGATGGGCAGTTACCAAAAAGTGATCACTGTTGCTTGTAGCATGTAGTCACATCTCAGTTGCATATCTATACTATGAATATAATACAACTGAAATATCATTATTCACTGGAAAACTCGAATATTGTTGATTTAAACCATTTGATGACATTTTCAAGTCTATTTTCTTTAATGAATGTTAAATGGATAAAATTAGATCTTCAATGTACGAAACAACAACTCATTTGGGCAAGATATATACCCTGTTAAAACAGGAACCTCACTTTCAGATTAACCCTGTCTGAATGGTGACCATATCATTCACAGAATTATTGCAACATTTTCGCGGGGCGCCAATTCAATTCACCGAACTGACGTTTGGAGTCTGAGAATTATGACAACTGCGAAATGTCAGTGGTGACAAGCGTATCCACTTCGAAGGGTATCCAATGAGATATTCGAGGCACTCTAGATTGAGGGTGACCTATATGTTTCGACTTTTACTTATCATTTCCATCCTACACTTCACTATA